TCCACACCAATTAATCCTATTTTTTATTTCATATTCTTTCTATTATGTTATCTTCAACATATTTATATTTTCCTTGTATTAAAGTTTCTTTTGTTATAACTGTTTTTTTTCTAAATTTACATGAATAGGAATGGATCTGACTAGTCCTAAAATAAAAGGTGAAGATATATGTCTTGCTGATAGTGGAACGACACACACAATCCTTCGAGATTAAAAATATTTTTCTCACCTAATTTTGACAGATGCTAGTGTTAGTACACTATCAGGTCCCACCAACTTGACTGATGGCTCCGGATAAGCCAACATCATTTTACCACGAGGAACAAGATTACAAATCAATGATGCCTTATATTCTACAAGATCTCGAAGAAATATATTGAGTTTTAAAGACTTGCGTCGTAATGAGTTTCATATTGAGACCGCAAGTGAAAGAAACGTGGAATATCTCTACATTATTTTCATTACCTCAGGCAAGAAGCTGATATTAGAAAAACTCCCTATTTTCTCTTCTGGGTTATACTATACAACCATTAGGACAATTGAGTCAAATGTTGTGATACATAAAAAATCTTGTGACCCAAAACTTTTTATGCTTTGGCATGATCGACTTGGTCACCTGGGGAGTACAATGATGCGTTGAATTATTGAAAATTCACATGGGCACCCACTAAAGGATCAAAAAATCATCTTACCAAATAATCATCTATGCACCGCTTGCTCACAAGGTAAATTGATTATTAGATCATCCCCTTCAAAAGTCATTGTTGAATCTCCCCCATTTTTATAATGAATTCACGAGGATATATGTGGGCCAATTCATCCACTCTGTGGACCATTTCGTTATTTAATGGTCTTAATTGATACCTCAATAAGATAGTAACATGTTTGTTTGCTTTCTACTCGTAATGTTGCATTTGCTAGACTTCTTGCTCAAATTATCAAATTACGGGTACACTTTCCTGATTACCCAATTAAGACAATCCGTCTTGATAATGCCGCTGAATTTTCTTCTGAAACTTTTGATAATTATTGCACGTCAGTTGGAATTAATGTTGAACACCCTGTTGCACACACTCATACTCAAAGTGGTATGGCCGAATATTTTATTAAAAGATTTCAGTTAATTGGTCGCCCTTTACTTATGCGAACAAAATTACCTATTTCTGCCTGGGACATGCCATATTACATGCTGCATCATTGGTTCGTATACGATCAACTGTTTATCATAAGTACTCACCATTACAACTTGTTTTTGGTCAACAACTAAATATCTCTCACATACGAGTTTTTGGTTGTATTGTATATGTTCCAATTGCACCACCCCAACGCACTAAAATGGGTCCTCAACGTAGACTTGGAATTTATATTGGTTTTGATTCTCCATCTATTATTAGATATCTTGAACCTCTGACAAGTGATGTCTTTAAAACACAATTTGCTGACTGTCATTTTGATGAGACTGTTTTCCCACCATTAGGGGGAGAAAAGGTACAGCACCAACGTGATATTGCTTGGAATGCCCTGGAACTGTCTCATTTTGATTCTCGCACAAATCAATGTGAAAGAGAAGTTCAGAGGATCATTCACTTGCAAAATGTTGCAAATCAATTACCTGATGCATTTACTGATACAAAGAAAGTAATAAAATCACATATACCAGTTGCAAATATTCCAACACGACTTGCTGTCCCTAAGGGACCTTCTATCAGTAATGCACCGAATGCAACTAAAACACGCTTGAAGCGTGGCAGACCAGTCGGTGCAAAAGATATTGTTCCTCGTAAGAGAAAATCACAAAGAAAAATTGTCACTCCTGAAGAGGCCACAAAAGGAGCAACAGATATTATTAATCAATCTGAGGTTATAGTCTTTGATAAGGCAACCTAAAAATGATGAAATAATAAATATTGATAAGGCAAAAACAACAGATGATGATATGGCCCTTGATGAGACATATGCCCTAGATGAGGCAAAGGTATCTGAAAATGATGAGATCTCATTAAATTATGAAACGAGATAGAATAGAAATGAAATTGTTGTCGACAACATATTCTCATATGTCGTTGCTCTTGATATTGATAATGAGGATTCGGAACCTCAAAACGTCAAAGAATGTCGACGAAGAAATGATTGGCCAAAATGGAAAGAAGTAATACAAGCAGAGCTAAATTCATTAGCTAAACGTTAAGTATTTGAACCTGTAGTCCAGACACCTGAGGGTGTTAATCCTGTTGGGTACAAATGGGTGTTTGTACGAAAGCGTAATGAGAAAAATGGAATCGTAAGATACAAAGCCCGACTGGTAGCTTAAGGTTTCTCACAGAGACCTGGTATTGATTATGAGGAAACACACTCCTCTATGATCGATGCACCCATATTTAGATTTATAATACATTTGGCAGTTACAAAAAGATTGCATATGCATCTAATGGACGTAGTTACAACATATTTATATAGATCACTAGATAGTGATATTTATATGAAAATCTCATAAGGATTTAAAATGCCTGAAACAAAACCACGTAATATGTACTCGATAAAATTACAACGATCCTTATATGGATTGAAGTAATCTGGACGAATGTGGTACAATTGCCTTAGCGATTACTTACTCAAAAAAGGGTATGTGAACAATCATATTTGTCCATGCATTTTTATTAACAAATCAGAATCTGATTTTGTTATCGTTGCAGTATATGTTGATGATCTGAATCTTGTGGGAACTTTGAACGAGATTGAAAAGATGGCCACTTACTTAAAGAAAGAATTAGAAATGAAAGATCTCGGAAAGACAAAATTCTGTCTTGGACTGCAGGTTGAACATTTTTCGAGCGGTATTCTCATCCATCAATCAACATATATAGAAAAGATCCTGAAATGTTTTTATATGGATAAAACATATCCATTGAGCTCTCCAATGGTTGTCCGATCACTTGATATCAAGAAAGATCATTTTCGTCCTCGAGAGGATGATGAAGAACTCCTTGGTCCTGAAGTGCCCTATCTTAGTGCTATTGGTGCTATTTTATATCTTGCAAATTGCATATGACCTGACATAATTTTTTCAGTCAATTTATTAGCAAGGTACAGTTCTGCACCAACCCGTAGACATTGTAATGGAATCAAACATATATTGCGATATCTTCGTGTCATAACTGATATGGGATTGTTTTATTCAAAAGTACCAAATTCTCAATTAATTGAATATACAAATGCCGGCTATCTCTCTGACCCACATAAAGCCTATTCACAAACAGGATATGTGTTTACCTGTGGCGGCACTGCTATATTATGGCGATCTATGAAACAGATAATGATTGCAACTTCTTTAAATCATTCTGAGATACTCGCAATTCATAAGGCAAACAGAGAATGCATTTGGTTGAGATCAATGATCCAACATATTCAAACAACATGTGGTCTCTCATTAATAAAAGATAGCCCAACTGTATTATATAAAGATAATGCGGCATGCATTGCACAGATGAAAGAAGGGTATATTAAAAGTGACATGACCAAGCACATCTCACCAAAATTCTTTTTTACACATAAACTCTAGAAAAAGGGCGATATTGATATTCAGAATATGTGTTCATGTGAAAATCTAGCATATCTATTCACTAAAACGCTTCCAACTACAATATTCAAAAAGCTAGTGCACAACATTGGAATGCGTCAACTGAAGGATCTTCAGGGACGAACTAATGCAACAATAAGAGGGAGCGATTGATCGAAGAGGTATTGGCATACTGTACTCTTTTTTCTTCGTCCAGGTTCTGTCCCACTGGATTTTCCTGGTAAGGTTTTAATGAAGCAGTTTTAATCTATGCAATACAATTTTCAGATACACAAGAATACTGTACTCTTTTTCTTTCGCTAGGGTATTGTCCCACTGGGTTTTCTTTAGCAAGGTTTTAACGAGGCATATTCTTAATGTAGTATTGTGAATTCCAAGGGGGAGTGTTATATATATATATATATATATATATATATATATATATATATATATATATATGTTTGTGTGGGATCCACAATGGTTTAAGTCATTCATGATGACACCCTTAGCTTGAAAAGGAAGATCACAACTAAGGCTTACAGTGGAAGCTTCATATTAAGGCTTACAGTGGAAGCTTCATTTTGAATCTTACAGAGAAAGCCTCATTTTGAGCCTATAAATAGGCATATATGTATTGATTTGAAAACTATTACAGAAAGCATATAAAGGAATTCCTCTTGATTTCCTTTCTCTTGTTTTCTTTATCCCTCTTAATTTTATAATAAAAATATATATTATAGATATATATATATATACGAGTATTTTTTTTTTTTTTGCATTGCACAGCTGAGTTAAGGAGCAGGTTATAATTCTGATTCTAGAACAGAATACTCTCTCTCATTCTTACAAGATGTTTTTTTTTTTTTTTTTTTTTTTTTTAGTTGGTACTACGTACTAAGCCACACATACCTTCGTTAAAGCTTGAACCTCTGACCTCTCTTTAAAAAGTAAAAACCTGATACTGCTAAACCACTAACCCGTTGGTTCTTATAAGATGTTCCAACTATTTAAAAAGAAAGGTAGTTGAGTATGTGGTCCATGAAGGGTTTTTCCTATCACAAGAGGGTTTATGGCTGTAGAGAAAATGGGGGTTTCCTGATTCAATGGAATGAATTAATTGGTTGGTAGGGTTTATTGCAATTTTGGTGGAAGGCTAGTTTGCTACTCTTGTCAAAATGGTGGCTTTGTACTATGGTTGGTGTTCTGTTCCAATCACAAGGCTTGGACTGTCTAGTTTTACAAGCTTGCAAGCCTAAGCATCATATCCCTGTTGACACACTTCCACTGCAACAAAAAAAAAAAAAGGTTCTATATTCATGAAATCCGCTGAAAGGACTCGAGTACACATTTTCATCGTTTCAAGTTTACCGCGCATTCCATTCCTGAACACTAGTTACTGAATATGGTGAAATGAGCAACGGAGAAGTAAATCATACACGAACAATTATAACGAATCTATAGCACATATATGAACAACTACTACTTTTATTCCACATGCACTATATACAACTTCTATTTGGCCATTTCGATCTACAAAAGATTATTACAGGAAAAAAAAAAAGAAAAAGATATCAACTAGGTTTTGTAGATGTTCAGGTTCTGGCTTATTGAGCAAAGCCTCTTTGTTTTTTTTTAGCTCCACTAAGGGTATGCCAGGCCTACACTACCACTGACTGATATCATTCTTACATTTTCTGCTTGCTGATTGAGTTGATACGTACGCTACTTGGTAATATCAGATACTTCAGTCTTTGCAAACCTTCCACGGATCCTCGGCTGACTATCAGCCAGAGCTTTCCTGCAAGCATACTGAAGTAACACACATCATGAGTGTATTGACGAGAAATTGACCAAACCACACTAAATTCACCACGGGATCCATATGGTAATTATTGGAAAGGATGGTAATTTTCATCATATGACACAGAAAAGCAGTGGTATTTACTATCTCATGTGTGAAATGATGCAGTTCATGTTTAGGCAAGAAAAGAATAAAGTTTTCACAGAGAAGCCCTGCGCCTGGCCAAAAATTTCCATCTTAAGAAAAATTAATTATATAAGCAGCTGTAAGTCCGGGTAATTAGATAGTCAGATACAATAGTAACAGTATGGACAATGAGACTCATTATCTCTCCATCAAAAATATTAAGAAATGGAGAAAAAAATGATCTTACGAATATTTAAATAACAAGTAGCTAACCGAACTTGGTATATTGTTCACACGGAACAGTCATTATTCAAGAAAGATGCAGAAGTTTGAGGAAACTGAGGCCCTCGAAGAAAAAATATTTCCTAACCAGGCAAAATGAATGTAATTCATTTAAGTCATAGAAGACAGAAGAGAAGACCACTTGTATTCCTCAGAAAGCTTATCAAGTGACCAAATGAATGGTTAATGTCAATACAGGGACATTTTAAGAAACTAGCTCCTACTATATTGAAGAATGGAAGGTAACAATGGCATAAACTTCAAAGGAATCAAATCCTTGGAACCGAGCAATGTCCAAACCAATCAAAACTCAAAACCAACTACTCCATCCCAAGTTGGGTGCTTTAATAGTGTTGACAGTTGATAATCAATCTAACTACTTCTCAAGATCTTAGGAAGGAGATATATCCAAAATGAACCATGATAAAGCTCTAAAACAGGAGGTCGCGGGTAGTATAGGTGTCAACATTATGTTATGAGTAAGGTCAACAAATAACGTCCCCCGCAAAGGTGGTTGAGAATGCATCTAATGCAAAATCATTGTACTTGTACCAGCCTGCTATGGCATCAATTTGGATAAGGAACCTATTTTCCAATAGAGGTCAAAAAAGACCATTGAAACATTTTAGACACCATAAGAGGAACAAAAAAAGTATTAACACTGCACATCCAGGCAAAGATTACAAGTGTTGGACATTGGATGGGCAATATGAAGGCTCAATTATTTAGTAAACAAGTATATCCTCTAAACCGAGAATGCAAAGTTTGATGGAAGACAGACCATCCAAGGCTTGACAAACTCATTGATCAAATCTATGAGCTGTACATCACTACAAGTTTAAATAATATTTCAACTTTTACACTTTCACCTACGATAAACAATAATTACCAAGAAATTATGAAAACTACATCCAGAACTACAGAGCAAGTGGTGGGATGTTAATGAAAACATGGAAAAGGAAGTTGTTAATTCTAAATTACCTTGATTTTCCTGCCAAAATTCCTCTTTAACTTCTTGTTCCTGTATCTGGAAAGCTTTTGCCCGCGGTCTTCATTGCCACAATTGCTGATAATTTGCGGCTGCACAAGGGGAGAACGGATGAAGCTCAAATTACCATTACCAAGAGTCTGTCACAAAAATTCAGTATCAATGACCCCAGCCCCATCCTGTTGAAATGGACAGAAACATCTAAACAGTTCTCAGTTTGTAGACTTCATCACAGAATTAGTAAATGCTTAGGGCTCAATCACACACTAGGACCCGGTGGTGTACACCAGAGAAACAGAAAAAAGACAATTGTAATTAAAAGAAAATGAATGCAGATGAAACGAATTCCTTATAATGAATCCTTAGTTTGGAGACCTGACATGTAAACTGCTCTTCAACTAAGTATGTACAATTAGAAAAGCTACTTAGCAATAAATATATATATAGGATGAGATCAAGGATAAAAAGGCTCATTTATAAATGAATTTTTATGCTGTTGTTTAGACATATGTCATTGGTCGATGGTAATCTAGGAAGCATGGGCACACCTAAAAGGGCAAAGAATCTGTGTCGGACACCAACACTCGCCAGACATGCCTCGACACGTGTCGGACACGCCAAAAAATGTGTCCGAAATTTTTATATTTTCTTGAATATCTGGACACACCGTGGACACGCGTTTGACACGCCATTGATACGTGCCCAACACACGTCCATTCTTGGGGATTTTTAAGAAAGTTCTAGAAACAATGTTGAGTTCAAATATAAATATTAGGAGTCCTTAAATAACTTTCAGCAATATGATGGTAATTACATAATTACTTAAAAGTTGTTGTTTTATTAAACAATTTTATATTAAAACAATTAGATATTTATCCTTATATTTTAGTTCAAGGTTCGAACTCTTGCACGGTCATCTTTGACTCTCATGTTCTCCCACCAACCAATCTTCGCTACTGGTAGATGTTCTCTCTATCTCTCTCTTCTCTTTTCTCTCTTCTTCTTTGTCCTCCTCTTTCTTTCTTCTTCTTATTCTTCACAAATCCTAGATATTTCTTTTTTTCCTTTTCACAATAAATTTGTTTTTGCGTTTCTTTTTCCTTTTTCCTCTATTCCCCGAGAACTTTTTCTCTTCTATGGATTCTTACATTTATTTTTAACTGAGGCCTGATTCTTTTTCTAACAAAACCATAATCCTCTTTGTTTCTTTTTTTTCTTTTTTCTTTTTTTTTTTTTTTCCCTCTTTCTTAACCGTCTTTCTATTATTCTCTCTTTTTCCCAGCACAACACAAATTTTTTTCATTTTAAGGTTGTAAAAACTAATATTATTCTTAATTTCTTAAAGTACAACATCATATATATAGAAAATATATTTATTATTTGCCGTGTTTGTGTTCTAATTTTTTAGGATTTGCCGTATCACCGTATCCGTTTCATGTCATATGCATGTCTCGTATCCATTTTCGTGCTACTTAGGGACTAATCTTCAAGAAATGATCAGAAAGGCCATTGATGTGGTATTTCAAAAGACCAAAATATTCTCCGGTCATTTAAGCAACCAAAAGAGTAGTATCAAGCCCACCAAGGTGCTTTACGCAATTTCCAAAGTATACTCGATATAACTTAATCATTGTTGTGGAGATGGAATTTGAAAAATTGGTGATCTGATCACAATGATCTAAGATACAGAGACAAGTAAGGAGGGGCCTGCACTTTTCAGACACTCATGAAGACACCCTTAGACACATATTTGACACATCTTACACGTGGTATTTGCTATTTAAAATATATATATTTTTTATTTTTGAACATGTGGGTGCCACTAAGTGGACACTTGATCAAGGAACCTTGGATATCAATTAAAACTTTTTTGGCATGGGTAAATAATTCAAAAGTTAAAACTTTCACATTATAGCCATAAACTAATAGATTCACTGTCATAATATAATACATGCCATATAATAAATATATCTTTGTGGCTACCATCTAATGTTTCTCTTTTGTGATTTGTTGTGCTGATGTGTACATGTTTTGTCGTGTCCAGTGTCATAATGTGTCCATGCTACAGAAGTTGATCAGCTTCCAGCTTGGCCTATTCTTTCTTTTGTTAATAATGATGCTTGAGATTTTTACTACAAGTTTCTTATCAGAATACCGCTTCACCTTCTCATAAATAACAACCGACTTATTTTTAGTTAACTTAAAAAAAAAGAAAAAAAAAAAAAAAAAACAAACAAACAAACAGACTGACTTATTTTTACTTGGGTTCTTTCATGAATAGGAGAGAACAGAAACTTTATAGGTCTTCATGTTTTTGTTTGTCTTAGATCTGCTTATAACTCCTGGGACTGGAACAGCGTCAACAGAGACAAGCCAGCCTCTACAAGGACTATAATGCAAGATAAAAGAAGTGTAAAAGGAAGCCTCAACCATTTCAAATTTAGTCATGCTTACTTAAACTACTCTGCTCTTCTAGACTTGCTTCCAGTAATTAAATTTCAAGAACTGCAATTACTTTGGTTTTCGAATAAACCTGCCACATCTCTTAACCACTGTTTTGTGGATTTATTATGATTTCTGTATCTTTTCCCCTGTTCTAGCCAGGAGCACATACTCACTTCTAGATACCCCAACTAGCAGCACCTATAAGGCTACACAGGTGCTATTTCATGCTCAATTTTTTCAGAGAACCGTTTATGAAGTGGATAAAAAAAGATAGAAAGAAATGCACTGAACTAAGGAATGAAAGAGAGTAATTAAACCTAACCTTTATATCTCCTTCACTGAATGCCCTTCGCATCCCGAAGGCAGCTGGGAAATCCAGAAAACTTGGCATCATTGGAGCCCCATGTATCCACTCCATTGAACTTAAACACCCTGAACTCTCACTCTTCTGGAATGGTCCTTCAGGAGGTAGTTTGTCCTCAGCAACAAGGTTCTCATCCGTCCTTACACCAGGAATCTTGATATCCAGGACATCAGAAAATGGTGTTTCTATGGCATCTTTTGCTAAGATATCCTTCTTGCATTCATAGAAAACGTCACTCAAGAGTTGCTCACTCTGAATTGATTCAATGTCTGTGACCTCGAGTGCATGGGGGGAGATGGCATCTTCACCACAAGAGGTCATTGAAATGGAAGCTGTCATTGGATCAAGGCCCACTACTGGTTCTTCAGTAATTGGTTCTGGAGCTTTGAATAGATCCCCTTCTCCCCCCAAGTCATATTCCAATATGGTGGAGGTCTGAATCAGGTTGCCCTGCATTAATTCCAAGATGAAGTGGTATAAGACATGCCAACTAGAACAATTCTTCATTGACAATATCTTCAATACAGGTAAATAAATATACAATCTTTAAACCAATAAAAAACACCACAATACATCTTGGATCCCAAGACAGAATCAACAAATCATGAAAATATATACATAAATATCAATCATCTTCTACGAATTAACTCCAAGTTTAAGAAAAAGTGCACCGATATTACACAAAATTTACAATTTATAAATATAGCACCATCCCAGTCCTTAAAAGACTCTCTATGGAATTTTGGTTTTGGGGGGGCTAGTTTGGGGTTGGGGGCGGTTGTTGTACATTGATAGGTAAGCGTAGTGAATGTTTGAGGTTTCCATATGTAAAAAATAGCCAAAATTCCACTTACAACTTAGCGTGATAAAATTTCAATATTAACCATTGTCTACATCAAGGTCATAATTAAGTACTAAGATAGTTAGGTTTGGGAGCATTGTCTATGTCTAGAGAATCACAATCTATGTTACATGTACTCAAGATGCTGATATGTGCTTAAGCTTTGAATTTATATCGTCCCCAAACTCAAAGGATCATGGCTGAATATTCAAATTATTTAAACCATTCTCTTATTTTCTATAGTAAGATCATGTTTTCACTTGTTAGAAGTAAATGGAACATAACAAAAAAGTTTCATGCATATTGTATAAAAAATTTTAATAAGTAGATAATTAGGTGCATGTCCAACTCTTTTCTTTTCTTTTTTCCCCGGGTAAGGTTGCACGTCAAACCATACGGATACATATCGCATAATACCTATCTCGAGTGTTGTCTGTCCAACGCCAGTACTTCACATATCATTGCTAGTGTCCTCACATAGATCACAAATATTTGTTAAAATGCAGATAACCCACAGTAGCACAGAACTAAACAAAAAGCTTCAGAAGAATCTAACAAATATTATTATTATTTGATCAATGACGAGGAAACAGATCAAAGAAAAATGGAAGTAAACATGTTTGTGAAAGGATCATTTAGGAACTATTCATAACATATATATATATATATCAAGAACTTTCAATCTTAGTTAAATTACTAGGCATCTTCACATCTACACAGAAACACCTCTCATCCAGGAATTTTTTTTTTTTTTTTTTCATCCTTTTATGGAAGCTGCTATATAAGACATTCAAAAGACAAAGGGATATTAGTTCAATAACAGTCAAAACTCAAAAACCATAGCATTTTATATTGTAAGTTCGTAACTATTTCAAATAGTCCAAAGCTGTTTCTCTAGAGAAATCTTGCATAACCAACCACCCCAAGCTGAGGTTGCATAATACTTGATTCCTTCTCATGGTAGTCAACATATAAAACCACCACGGTTAAATGGTTTTAACTTTTAAATGGTCTGATTGAGATCTTTCTTTTTTCTTCCCCAAGTGTCTGATTGAGATTTTTCTTCAGTGGATTTTTCAAAACTTCAAAAATTAAGATAAAATCAAGTAGTCTAAATCATCAAATAATTCCAGTACTCCGCAAAAGAACAAAATCTTAAGTTGGAACTACAAAACCTTGCTTCTCCATCTACTTGCATGCAACATACAAAATGAGAAGCCCCTAGTGTTTAAAGCACAGCCCATGTATAAGTTGCAGCCTGTGCTTTGTGGAACTGAATCAAGTGTGTTTGTAATAGGAACCTATCAAGATGATTTGAATTGTGTATTCAAGCAGATCAAGCATAAAAGAGGTTGCAATCATGCTAATTGTCCAATGCTATTGTGCATGAGCTCTAACTGGCAAAGTGACAACTTTTGAAATCAGCGTGAATTTTGAGAGTGGTGTTAAAAATAAATAAATTAATATATAAAAGAAGAAGTAGAAGAAGAAGAAGAAGAAGGAAACAAAGAAGAAGGAAAGGAAGAAAATGATGATGATGATAAATGAAAACCGTTAAGTCAAATTCAAAAGTACAAGTGAAAACTCGTGTCATGTAGGAGCCTGTTGAGAATTTCGGAGTCCAACAATTGTATAAAATTGGTCAAATTCAAGAATATACTCGGGCAGAATTATTAGGCGCAACTTACAGACCAGAATATTCCTCAAAATTGGCACCAAAAATTTTATATGAAAAGAAAATATAAAATCAACTGATGTAAAAGTGAAGAAAGAGAAATTTAGGATTCATGGCATATGATCCATGGTTTGAAAATTTCTGCATATTGTTTGTAAGATAAGTAAAGATGGACTGAAACATGTATCATATACGAACCAAGGTTCAATGGGGCAAGTATAACAAGGTTGTTTTCTAGAAAATCAGAAGAAAAATAATAATAATGAAATGGGAAGAATATTCAAAAAATAAAAAATGAAAAAGGACCATTAAATGTTATCTATTAATAAAATTAAAAGTTTGAGGGAGTTGGCTGAATAATCAAAAAGTTGAAAACTTATTTTCTAACCCACTTTGGTCACCAAATGAACAATCAACTCCGAACAAAGAAAATTTACCTGGAAATCCACATTTCAGAAAACAGGCCTCCCCAAAATTTTCAGAATGCTGAAAGTTGAATTTTCTAAAGTGTTCCTAAGTAAGAAGTATACGACTATTAATCTTCGCTAATACCCTCCAACTAAACCTTAAACCCTCAAAAGACCAAAGATGAATGCTATTGTCAGTAAATGCCCAGAAAAATTACCCAGTTTTAACAAAGGTAAAGACTTATTGTAACTTTTTTTTTTCCTAGTTGGTACCCACACACACATGCCTCCACTACATAAACAAAAACCATAAAATAATAACAATTAAGGATTAGATACGGTTCTACTTTTCTCCAACTTTTTTTTTTCTTGTTTAATTATTGTAAGTGCATTTAAAAGTGAACCATTCAAACAAGTTGACATCATAAGTTTGGTGGCAAAGGGTGCTGTCTATGCTAAGGGTGCCTCATGCTGATGCTAACAGAAGTTTGGTTGCTGCCTGGAATATTCCTGAGACTTTTTTGTGATAATAACTACAGTGTTTGTTTTGTTTGGTTTTGCCAGGCTTGTAGGGTTTTGTTTTTCTTGGTTTATCTGCTGTTGGTGGGCTTGCTTTGTCTTGTTTTGGTGTTGCTTTCTTTGTGCTTGGTGCTAGCTAGGCTTCTTGCCTTCGCTCTTTTTCTTTTTTTCTTTTTTTTTCTTTTTTTTGAAAGAAAATGGAGTCAAGGAACTTATAATTGTGAAATCATTTTCCATCTCTTAATCTTTTTATTTCCAGATTCAACTCACAAATAGAAGTTGAATATCTCTATTTATGCTATGTTTGGTTGCTACGAAAATGTTCAGAGAAAAACAGATACTTAACAAAATAAGATATTAGGGTTAAAAAAAAAAAAAACAAAAAACAAAAAAACAAAAAAAGATATTTAGGACTCAAAATCAGAGGCATCAAAGAAAATACTAAAATTTCCTTTGCAAATAAACAAAAGCCTCAATAAATAATCAAATGCCTCCAAAGAAAATATTGTAATTTTTTTTTTTTTTTTTGGGTAAAAAAAAATATCGTAATTTTATACCGAACAGAGCTGAAAGCAAATACCACACTTCAATAGAGAGAATGTAAGAAACCCTAAGTCCCAATCAAACAGTAATAGGAGTTAAATATCTCTATCAGCCTCATCAAAAGAAAAATGCCTATCAATTAAATCGACAAAAGAAAGAGAGTTCTAGAGAGAGAAAGTACGATAGCATACAGATTGAGAAATTATAGACAGAGAAAGAGAGAAATGATTACCATTGAAGTGTTCGATTTCTGGAAAGAAAAGTAGTCTTCAAGATTTTGTAATTCTTGAGAGAAGTTGGTGAAGTAAGGAAGCAGGAGCTCAGCCTCGGCATTCATTTCTTAGTTTCTCTCTCTAAAACTATAGCTTGAAGCAGAGGAGCTTCAATGGAGGAGAGGAGAGGAGAGGAGAGGAGAGAGGAGAGATATTAAAGTCTCCACAGAGGAAACAAAACAGAGTAGCAGAGCAGATGTAATGTAGAGAGAGAAAGTGAAGGGGATGAGAATTTATATAGTATGTCTAACTTGGTTCGAGTTTCCATCCGGTGAGAGAATTTATAGATAGTCACAAGACTCGCTAATATAATTGCTGACGTAATAAATAAATTAAAATATATGAGAAAGCAAAAGATTTTTATTTATAGTACTCCTACTAGATATTTTTATACTATAGCAACAAAATATGCTAAGGACATTGTGAAAATGACATGACATATAATGAAAAAGAAATAAAAATAGTATTTGGTTTCAAGTTTAGTACAGTACAGTATTGCATGTGTAAAGTAAAACAATTAGGGACATCCGAAAAACAAGTTTTAAATTTATTTTAACAAATTATTGAATATTTCAACACAATTTTAAGAAGGATCAAATGTGCACCGTATAAACTAAAAATAAAGATATTAAAAATAGATTTGAACATATTTGTTTTAGATTTTAATATATTTAAATCGTGTTTTAATATATTTGTTATATATGCTGAAATATTAGATAAATATGTTGATAAAGTACGTTACACCACAAGGGTACTATAGTCAAAAAATTCCTAACTTTTAGCATAGAGTGAAAATAAATTCATATATTTTGCATTCGAATTTTATAGGGCACAAAAAATACTTTTTGTATAAAAATTCTCTAGATTACAAGGATGTTACATTATTTTGCGAGAAAATTAAAATGATCATTATCATGCATTCATTGACTTTGTGTGAAAAATTGGATAAATTTTACTTAACTCTCCTAAAGTTCTACATAGACCCTTCTATTTTTGAATCTTTACATAAATCAAAATTTCAAAGGAGATAAGTGGAATTATAAAATATTGGAAGATTATGTGGGATATTTACAAATCTCACCAGAGATAAGTGAAATTTACCCATAGGTTGTATTCGGTTGCATGGAATTGAAAATTTGAAATTAGAATTGGAATTGGAGGAATTGAAAAAAAATTTGATTCAATTTTATAAGTTGCTTTTCTCCAATTTTATAAATTTCAATTTCAAAACTCCAATTTTATACAATCGAACACAACTTTAATTTTATAGAGTCGTTATATGAGTGTAAGATTAACTTAGAACTTATATTTTGTGTAAAATGAAATAAAGTTATATATATATTTACAATGTTTGAAATATATATATATATATATATATATATATACAATGTTGTCGTTCTAAGTTCTACCGTGTCAAGTAAATAAAGTATTAAAATGAATATGTGCTTGTCATATATTGTGTTCAATGTCATTAAAGAATTAATTTTAAAAATTTTGATCAAACTAAATCTTTAATTTTGATCAAATGATTACATCAATATTAAAGAAATACAAATACATGTGTCATTGTCTTTCAAAATGATTTTGAAATCAGAAATATCTTTCAGGGACCTGCTAAGTCTCAACGATTGTCCACAAAATCAATGTCATGGCATAGTATATTAATTATTCCCCGTCCCACATTAGAGGTCTATTTTTAAAAATTAGAATTTTTAAAAAACATGCATTTAATATATTATTTCTTTTTAAAATTACCAACTTATTCCTTCTAATTTAAATATATATAGCTACAAAGTTTGAAATTTTTTAAAAAGATAAAAGATAATGATGAAAATATAGAACTTATTTGTTTTGACTTCTCAAAGAAGATAATTAATTTGGGACATGTCAAAAGAGAATAATGAACTACTAATATGGGATGGAGGAAGTATGTACTATTCTAATGTCTCGCTTGTCGTTCAGTCCTGCTTATTATTTGATTTATGCTGTTATATATGCGTGTGACCGAACAAATGCACCAAGCTTGTGTTGCATAGAGCAAGCTTGTGTTGCATAGAGCAGTAAGAGTAGTAAAAGTTTGAACGAGAGCAGAAAAATGACAAAATTTAAATTATATAAAGTAAGAGTTGAATTAGAAGAGTGTATAAAATGTAAAAATGGAAGCGCGCACCGGATACAAAGGATACAAAAGCGGCTCTCATTAAGGTAAATCATGTGACTTAAGTGGGTACTCATATGACATTTTGTTTAGCATTCATTGTATATTGGTGCAACACAATTATGTTACAAAATGCAACACTTGTAAAAGTGTTCTGCAATATATTTATATCAAAGATATAACACCAATACAACGTGCTAGAGCGTGTAATTATAAGTTATAACAAGATTAAATAAAAAAATTAACACATTTACGTAATGGTTGCATTCACAATTTAAATTTGTTGCATTATATACCGGTCAACATAAAAGAGGATTTCGGTTCGTTCTAATTTAATGACTGTCAAAATAAAAGTTTTACTTATTTTTTTTTTGAAGGTTCAAACAGACACGCTTACACTCACAATATTATGCAAAATACTCCCTTTTGGCACACAAATGTTGAAATTTTGGTGTTATGATCACGTGGCACATGACACATGGATAAGTTGTTTTGACAAAAAATACTCTTAGGCATGATCAAATTCTCCAACACTATTAACTTTTATAAATGAGAAATTGAGAGTTTTTTGTTGCTTATGCAAGAATATTTTCGTCAAAATAATCAGTCCATGTGTCATATAAGTTACGTGTGATCACTTTTCGGGAGTCGGCCGAGTCGGCAAACCACGACTTATACATCGCAGATGAGTTTTCCATACCGGATACTTGTACACTTCTCGATCAAACCTCGGTGTCATTGCTTGATTTAGCAAATGAGTAATCATATGGGATTCTGAAAAAACAGGTTGATAGTAAATAAATCTCGTATGTGGGCCGACCCTTGCTGTCATTTCATTTGACTTATATGTTTATCATATAATTTTCTTCAGAAATTATTGGTCTGTTTTAGCCACACAAAATATCATTTTCATTGGGCTAACTCATGGTCCCCATAATAATGTTTTTTTTCCATGAGGCCATTCTTTTAAAATCCACACACCTTCTCATAGCTCTGTAACACAATCTTATATGAATTAAAATATATATACATTTATTCTATTTTTACAACTACAATTCACATCTTTCCTTATTTTCTTACTCTCTTCTAACTTCTATATTACCTTTTATTAATTCTTTCTTCCCATCATAATTTATGTAAAAAAAACCTTACATTTGAAGGAGGGACGGACCTGAAAAATTGTGTAAGGGAGGGACGGATGTGCTAGCATATAATAGTAATATATATATATATATATATATATATATATATATAAGTGGGGTCAATTGCCCAAATTACACCTAGGTCCTTGACTTATTTGAAGTATTTTCAATAAAATTTAAGATTATTGTGTAAATATAATAGTATATGTCTGAAATGTCATTGTTTTTCATAGTCCAATGTAACAACGTAACCAATTAAAAGCCAAACATTTCTCCATTTCAAACCATAATTTTTATAATTAAAAGACAATCAAACAATTACATATCATGTAAATTTATGGCAATAAATAACTTTAAAAAAAAGAATTATGACAATAAACACATATACTTATAATACTTCTTTCGTCTCAAAATAAATAGGCACTTTGGGAATTGTAAATTTGTGACTCACCATAAGTAATACAATAATTTGTATAGTAAAAATAATTTGTTCTTGTCACCTTTCTTCAAAAGAATTTTTTTATATTTTTATTTTTTAAATTCAGAAACTGATTTATTTATATTATTTTCAAGCTCATGTATATACATGGCAGGCTTCGTTAACGCCAACCAACAGGATTGGAGTTTTTATTTTAAATATTTAACTCATGACTTTGAAGTGTCGGTAAGTAAAGTCTCCATATGGTAGTAGTTTTCATCTACAATTAGGTTTAATAGATAAACTATTGCTTCCTCCCACCCACTAGCCGTTTTAGAATATAAATGTATATATACAAAGAAGGGATATAGTGATATATATTTACATTTAATGCATATCTCAATTTGACATTTCAAAATTTACCCTCAAATAATAAATTTTTCTATTGCTAGCTTGGAGAATTTTTGAAAAATTTTACATTACATTTTAATAGGGATGTTTATTATCAGATGTCCAGAAAAATAATAGGAGCATTAACTTTGAATACTCATTTGCCTCACTTAACGCTTGACCTTCCTCCTTTTCTTTCCAATGTTTTAAAGGTGAGGTTATACCATCTAGACAAGAGTCCGATGATTTTATTGTCTTAGTGACATGCTAGCAAAACTAATAGCTTATTTTAATTAGAGTCCTATTACAATATGTTTTTAGGATATCACTTTGGGACAAATAAATAAATATGTAGGAAAAAGGGATCACCGATGTCACAAATTTACAAATTTACATGAATTTACAAATAAATAAATAATTCGTGAAATCATTAATCACAAATTTACATGAATCTCATATCTTAAAACTTCATGATTTTCACATACCTATAGTGCATAAATAAATAGTTAGATATAAATAACTCGATCTGTAATTGCAAATCTTGTTGAGATTAAGCCAAATATCGAGATCCTTTTTGCCGAAGAACAACGTGATAAACTGCAAGTACAAACAACAGCCAAAACGTGTGGAAACTGATTTCTCTCTATTGGCCTTTTGCACACATAAAACTTTTACGTGTTGTATCATTAATTGTACATAATTGATAAAGTATATGCACTCTTATAAAGATAGAGAGATGACCAGTTTTCCTTTTAGTAACCTAATTCCACTTCTCATCAAAGTAAGGAATAAAAAAGGAAAACACTTCTCCAATAAGTAATTACCAAAAAGGTAATTTATAAGTTGACCAAATAATATAATATTAATCTGATATCTATTTTATTTAACCACCAAATAATATGTCACATGTCCAAATCATGTGGACCACAATTAAATAAATAATCTTACATTCTCCCACTTGGTACATATGATAACTTCTGTAGTGGTTTAATAAAATAGTCATTAGTGTGCACCATAAATCAGATTGACTCATTAAGTTGGTTATCATAAATACCATGGTAAATAAACTATCAATGCTAGTCATTAGTGTAATGGTTTAGTAAAATAGTCGTTAATGTGCACCATAAATCAAATTGACTCATTAAGTTGGCC